GGGATGGCCAACCATGCCACCTCAACTCGCCTCCATAGCTCCTCAACGTTAGCCGAGGAAGCCGGATAACGTAGAAGTCTCCGACCAGTCATTTCCCAAACATGTTTGATCGGATTCAGATGCGGAAACCGAGCTAGCCATGGAAGCATTCGTATACGGTGCTCTTCCACAAAGGTCTGTACAACACGCCCGATGTGCTGTCGTACGTTGTCGTGCATGTATAGCAGACATGGGAGCCGCGGAACGTAGGGAAGCACAACGGACCGTAGTACCTCATCTACGTATCGTTGACCCGTCATGGTCAGGTACACACGCAGCAGACGTGTACGTCCACCATATGTAATCGCACCCCACCATAATGCCTCGGTTGTCGGTGGATAGGGCGTTCTTGCACACACTGCTCGAGTAGACGATCATCACGGCTCCGACTAACTAAAATTCGCGCATCAAAACAAAATGTCCTTCTACTCGGCAACCTACTAATGCCTAGCGTAGACCCACTCGTGACGTATGCTGCGGTGCTCGGGTGTTACTGAAATCCGTTGTATCGCACGACGCGCCATACAGTTCGCGTAGTGAGTGTGCCTTCCCCTGCCAGTGGCCAAACAGCTCCAAGTTGCCTTGAGGAGGACTCACACGACGCTAAAGCCCTGAGCACAAGAGTGCGATCCTCGTGTGCTGGGGTCGCGCAGGGCCGTCTCGTCCGCGGCTATAGGTACCTATGTCCTACCTCAGACCATTCTCGCCATCCCCGTTGCACTGCCGATAATTTTACAGAACGATACACCCTCAATGTGCATACAAGTAACGCGATCGCCCATCCATTGCGCACAGAGTACGATAACAATGTGGTTCCTCACACCACACTAAAAACGACCGGTATTTTCCATCCACTTCGATCTCCATAGCGACGGAATGTTCCACTTGGAAGGGTGGCTCAGACAACAATGCCGCGACGGAACAATTGGAAACTCGATGAATAAACTCGTCTACAGTAAACCTTTGTGCTCCGCAAATATCATGGATTTATCTTCACGCGTTTAGATTATATAGGGTGTGCTCGTGAATTATGTCCAACAGTGTAAGCCAACTTACCTACTATGGAGATATCTCCGGGTATTCCAATAACTCCCGAGACTGATGCCACCACTTCCACCTTATTGCTTTTGCAGTTTTCCGTCAGTTCGTTGGTAAAGGTGTAGGTGTTGGTGGTTAATTCTGTTTCTATCGGAATGCCGTTTACACTTAGACTGTACGTTACCTCACATTCATCGAATTCAGTACCATAATCAGTCCATGTCACAAATTTGCTGTTTTCTCCATCTTGCACAATTGTCATTGTTATGTCATTTACGGCATCCTGAATTGGTGGTACTAAATAACCAATTATCATTAATGGCTCTAAAAGCGATCTTTAAGTCAACTTACCTACTATAGAGATATCTCCGGGTGTTCCAATAACTCCCGAGACTGATGCCACCACTTCCACCTTATTGCTCTTGCAGTTTTCCGTCAGTTCGTTGGTAAAGGTGTAGGTGTTGGTGGTTAATTCCGTTTCTATCGGACTGTCGTTTACGGTTAGACTGTACGTTACCTCACATCCTTCGAATTCAGTGCCATAATCAGTCCACGTCACAATTTTGCTATTTTGTCCGTCTTGCACAATTGTCATTGTTATGTCATTTACGGCATCTTGAGTTGGTGGTACTAAATAACCAATTATCATTAATGGCTCTAAAAGCGATCTTTAAATAAGCCAACTTACCTACAATGGAGATATCTCCGGCTGTTCCAAAAACTCCCGAGACTGATGCCACCACTTTAACCATGTTCTTGCAGGTTTCCGTCAGTTCATTGGTAAAGGTGTAGGTGTTGGTGGTTAATTCCGTTTCTATCGGAATGCCGTTTACAGTTAGACTGTACGTTACCTCACATCCTTCGAATTCAGTGCCATAATCAGTCCATGTCACAAATTTGCTGTTTTCTCCGTCTTGCACAATTGTCATTGTTATGTCATTTACGGCATCTTGAGTTGGTGGTACTAAATAACCAATTATCATTAATGGCTCTAAAAGCGATCTTTAAATAAGCCAACTTACCTACAATGGAGATATCTCCGGCTGTTCCAAAAACTCCCGAGACTGATGCCACCACTTTAACCATGTTCTTGCAGGTTTCCGTCAGTTCATTGGTAAAGGTGTAGGTGTTGGTGGTTAATTCCGTTTCTATCGGAATGCCGTTTACAGTTAGACTGTACGTTACCTCACATCCTTCGAATTCAGTGCCATAATCAGTCCATGTCACAAATTTGCTGTTTTCTCCGTCTTGCACAATTGTCATTGTTATGTCATTTACGGCATCTTGAGTTGGTGGTACTAAATAACCAATTATCATTAATGGCTCTAAAAGCGATCTTTAAATAAGCCAACTTACCTACAATGGAGATATCTCCGGCTGTTCCAAAAACTCCCGAGACTGATGCCACCACTTTAACCATGTTCTTGCAGGTTTCCGTCAGTTCATTGGTAAAGGTGTAGGTGTTGGTGGTTAATTCCGTTTCTATCGGAATGCCGTTTACAGTTAGACTGTACGTTACCTCACATCCTTCGAATTCAGTGCCATAATCAGTCCATGTCACAAATTTGCTGTTTTCTCCGTCTTGCACAATTGTCATTGTTATGTCATTTACGGCATCTTGAGTTGGTGGTACTAAATAACCAATTATCATTAATGGCTCTAAAAGCGATCTTTAAATAAGCCAACTTACCTACAATGGAGATATCTCCGGCTGTTCCAAAAACTCCCGAGACTGATGCCACCACTTTAACCATGTTCTTGCAGGTTTCCGTCAGTTCATTGGTAAAGGTGTAGGTGTTGGTGGTTAATTCCGTTTCTATCGGAATGCCGTTTACAGTTAGACTGTACGTTACCTCACATCCTTCGAATTCAGTGCCATAATCAGTCCATGTCACAAATTTGCTGTTTTCTCCGTCTTGCACAATTGTCATTGTTATGTCATTTACGGCATCTTGAGTTGGTGGTACTAAATAACCAATTATCATTAATGGCTCTAAAAGCGATCTTTAAATAAGCCAACTTACCTACTATGGAGATATCTCCGGGGGTTCCAATAACTCCCGAAACTGTTGCCACCACTTTAACCATGTTCTTGCAGGTTTCCGTCAGTTCATTGGTAAAGATGTAGGTGTTGGTGGTTAATTCCGTTTCTATCGGACTATCATTTACAGTTAGACTGTACGTTACCTCACATCCTTTGAATTCAGCACCATAATCAGTCCACGTCACAAATTTGCTATTTTGTCCGTCTTGTTCAATTGTCATTGTTATGTAATTTACGGCATCTTGAGTTGGTGGTACTAAATAACCAATTATCATTAATGGCTCTAAAAGCGATCTTTAAATAAGCCAACTTACCTAC